TTTCTACCATCACACACCTGCTCCATCCCATAAAAAATTACTTGCATTGGCAAGCACAAGCAAAAGAAACTTAGATGAGATGACAAACAACAAATAATGGCAGAAGGATCAGATACCATCTCACAGACTGTGGGTCAAATAAATTAGTAACAAATACTGAAATGTCACACTACTCACATTTACATAATAATACATTAATTAGATAAGGGTATGGTTCGCTATGGGATGAACATGTGTAAAGATTCTAAAGTTGCATAACATGAAACTGACTGACCTTTCAGCCAACTGGATGTATGACTGGAAACTCCAAAGCAACTATTCCTCTTAACACAACTGTGTTAACCATCACTTCTTTTACTGTGTAACCAAAACTGAACACGGCACACATACAACCACAAGAGTGGTAGCAGATACTGGAATGAAATAATAGGCCCTTTATAGAATAGAGTGGACAGGTGCTTCAGCAGAAATTTTTTTACCATTTCTGTATGTTACATGGGAGCCTATCAGGTAAGTGTGCTACACAAGTGGTTATACTTTCTATCTTTCAACATGTATTACAAAGAATAAGTTTTAATTTGTGATTTGATGTTCCTGACTGCTTCAACTAAGATAAAAAGTTACAATTTAGAATTGCACCTTGCCATATAACAAACCCAAATACAGACAGTATGAGGGTGGTTAAGATACATTAACAAAATGTGCTAATAAATACTATGTGGAGCATATTTTTAAATTTATCACATAAAATCCGCAAAAAGTAATAGTTTACAACAGCAAATAAAATGCTTGCATACACTATTATAATACTCTGAAAACTGGAAATCAGTATTACATTTACCTCATTCCAAATCAACACAATACTAACATCTTATTCCTTATCAATAGTGTGTTACAAATCATCAATCTTAAATGTATTAGATTCTATTGAAAGGTGCTCACTCCAGTGGAAGCTAGTCTATACTGGATGTGTAAAATAACTGAAATTCAAACAGATAACTTCAAATTCATTTCTTTTATCAGGACTTGTACAGAAAATGAACTGGCTGACTTCATGCACCCTTTCCATCAAATAGCAACTGAATGTGTTATGAACTAATATGAAAGTAGCAATGAATCATACACATAATATTCAAGAACAGAAACCATATTTCCTATTGGTGTAAGCATTCTAGAGCAAGAAACATGACCCTTGTATGCACATATTAGTTTTAATTTAAATGAAAAACTACCTAAAAAAATTTGACTTGATGCTGATCCAATTAGCACACAGAAATTAGATTATTAGCTTATGTCCAGTTTTATCACACAACTTTGACAAAGAATTTTATATAAAATATAATGCACAAAATTTGCAATGAGCTTTAAGAAATATTTATTCCAGTGTAAAATAATTTCAAATTTAATTACAAAACTTCACATATGACTTGGGACACTTTTTACTAAGGTGACTTTAGATGTAAATAATACAATGTATCAGCATCAAGGAATATATCGGATGACAGAAAAACAAGTAAGGAGAGACAACACTAACATTTTGTGAAGTTCCCACACTTACATATTGAACTGAAACTTGGGTTACAAAGATAGTGAAATTCAAACAGCAAGATTCTAAATCTAAGAAACATCAAGAGAAATGCCAAATTGGACAAATTTATATGGAAAATACCAAATATTTATTCAGCATGTGGAAGACTAGACAACTACAGGCATGAAGCTAACCACTCACCCCCATCTAGTGCTAAGATAAAGAATGAGTAGGAGCTATAACCCCCCCCCCCCCCCCACC